GGGCAAGCAGTCCACAGTCGATGAGTAAAATTGTCTAGCATGAGACGTCACAGTTCAATATTAAAGTATTTAAAGTAGGGAGTGTTAGGGAAAATTGCATCTAAATATGTCAACATGAAACATGGGCAAAATCTAGCTACACACAAATTAACTTGTCCGGCATTAGGAAAGGTGACATAATTTAAGAAAGTGCTGAAAACTGGGTTAATTGGAGTGAATTGGGTGGTTACATATATTACTAAGCAGATCATGTGGGTGGTGTAGCTAGCTAAATGTATTCATGAGTTTGAACAAACAAACAAACTAAGGACTTTAACTGTTTCCAATTAGGGAGATGTCCATATTCAAGTTGCCACACAAAACATCAAATTGACATTTTTATCTAAGCCGATCTATCCATCCTTGAAAACTTCAAGCATGACATACAAAGAAACTTGGAAATTACCCCCCCCCCCATTCCATTGATGTCTTAATTAGTACATCTTACTATTATCAGTCTCAGAAGATTCTACTCTTAGACTCCCTCCCCCTCTGGATGACTAAAATGTCCTTTGCATCTAAAAGGGTTACAGTAAATATGAAATGTGACCCTCTGATGTTAGGCATAGTAAAATCATGAAGTACTGAAAGCAGTCTGGCTTTTATCTTAATAATGTGTTAACACAAAATGTGGGCAGACAATCTAGTTTCAATGAAAGGTTAAAACCTTTTAAGTCCAACACACTCCCCATTGACAAACAAAATCACCATGCAGGGGTTGATTGTTCGAAAGCCGATAAGTTAACCTTAGATTAAGCAAACTTCTTAACAGTTTGTTTATAAATTTGAAAATATTTCTTTAGACATCTTGTCCGGATCAGTACCATAGGAGTTTTCTTTTCATAATTTTAAAACAAAAAGATACTGTATGTAGAAATACATAAATTTTAACTACGGGTTAGGGTTAATCCGGCTATGCAGGCCTTAAAATATTGGTCGGTCATGGACATTGTCCGACCCATTAGTGAAATTGTCTGACGTAGAGAGGAAACCACCAGACATTCTGTCCGACCAAAGTGAAATTGAGGTTTATTGTTTGTCCGACCTGAGTGTATGTGTGTCCGACCGAACTGTAGCTTTGTCCAACGTAAATCAAAATGTACCCTATCCCAGGGCTAGAGGCTTGTATGTTAAATGGAAAATCAGAGTACTATTGTATAAAAGGTGAACTGGAAATGTTGTTTTAAAGTAGTCGAGCGCGTGGCGGCGAGCGAAATGGTGAAGTGGAAAACGGGCTTAAGTTGTCGAAGTCTTTTTTAATACTGCTGTTCTGGCAAGCAAGTTAATTTTGGCTTGGAAATAAGTATGAAAGAAACAAATTATTTAATATCTTCACAACATTTACCGTTCAGAATTAATACATTGTGCTGATATTCATTTGTGTCATTCAGACTTATTTCCG